AAAAACAAAAAAGTAACATATTTAGATAAAAGACCAAGAAATTAACCAATGCATAATATGTAGGCGTAAATTATCATTATAGGTACTTAATACTGATTAAGAAATTAAAAAAAAAATACAGTTAGATGCAGTTTAATAAAATTTACGATCAACGCTATGTATTTTTTTTTTTTATTTTTAAACTAATTTATAATTGCTACTTAGTTAAATACAACTAAACTATACTGCAATTTTCACAAAACGCTAATAATAATATACCAAACGTTGCTCTACTTGGCAGTTTTTTGTCCACGAGTCGCCCATTTAGTTTCGCTTCTTGGGTAGGTATTCTTTATTAAGGTCTTTGATTTGTTGACGTTATCAGAAATATGTTCTTCCTTTTAAAATAGACCTTTTAAGGATAACTATGATCTTTTTAAAATGGGTATTAGACAGGGGCGGCTCGTGACCAAAATGTTGGGGGTTCACAGTAGCAGAATATAGATCCCGGTACAGATATAGGTAAAAAACTCAGTGTTTTAGAAAGGTATATTATAAACTTTCTAAAACACTGAAAGTTTTTTCATACATCTGTACTGATACCTATATTCTGTCACTGTGAACACCCCCACGAGCCGCCACTGGTATTAAATATTTAAGAAAATTGGTAAAAGTATCAAGATGCGGTTAGTATAAAACATAAAAATATGATCGTTTTACATTTTTAAGGATATATTTGTTGTTAAGTAAAAGGTAATCAGTGAATGGCAACTGGATCACAAAATGACTGGAATTTCTCCTATGAAAAATATGAACATTGTAGCTTATTTAGTGTTAACCCATAGTTAATACGCAAAAGGGCAAACGAAGGCATTCAAAAGTTTACAGGCCTATGAGTCAGGATTTGTTTTAAAAACTGGAACCAACATTTGCATAACACTACATATCAACATTATATCATTACTAAAACTTAACTTAATAATATTGTAGGTCCTTTTAACTCTAGTTGTAATGTTTACCTATTTTTTAATTTAAAGTGAACTATTCATACATACCTATGTATTAATGTTAAGTAGATATTTTTAAAATAATTGTTGTGGAAGTAATGGTAGCTCATTATGCTAAATTAAGATTATCTAATGCAGTATATGGCGTTTTAAATGTGAATTTTCAATTTTGTAAATGGTGTCATAATTTCCTAATAAATAAAATGTACTTAAACTTATTTAGTTACTTTTAATCATTTTGGTAAGAAATTTATTAATTTTTAATATTAAAAAATCAGTAATAAAGTTGTTAGTCTTTTCTGGAATTCATCTGTTCATGCTTATCTCCCGTCTTTTTGCCTTAAAAACGAATAATGCATTTTCTACAAAACCTTCTTCAGAATCAGCATGTAAAATAAGTCCTTCTCTTGTAGGGCTTTTCAGGAATTGCTACCCTTAATAGTACTCAATGAAACATAATCCATAATCGTAGAATTTCAATACAATTGCTTACTGAAGTTCTAAAAAGAACTATTATTAACAAAATAAAGTAAAAAGCTAATAATGATGAGATACCAAAATATAAAATGTTAGAACTGTCAACAATATCAATTATTAGCTGATGTTAATATTAAAAAGTGATGTGTGAAACTGACTGCAATCTGACCAATCAGAAGTCTACATAATTGCCAACTTAAATTCAAATCGCTCCTCCTAGTTTAAAAACAGTTTCTTTTATAGTTAAGATTATTTTTTTGTGCACCAAATTCATATTCATCCTTTGGGCATTGTGATAAATAAATCTGGCTTTCGAGCTTAAACTTACAGACACAATATTTTGTGTGTTAATTTTTTTTTTGTTCAATGCCAATTTCTAATGTTGATGGCCGAGGCTCACAGATTTCAGCAATGTACAGGGTATTTTCTTTACAATAAAAATGATCAATAAAAACTGAAAACAAAAAGAAATTGAAATAAACCAATATTATTTTAACACATTATCAAAAACTGGTTTGTAAATATTACTTACCATTGGCGCAAAACAGTATTAAGAACTGCATTTTTCTAAGACTAATATTTTTGGTTATCCTTAAAATGACAACTGCATAATATCATTCAATATATCACTACCAATATCTGTGAGTGCTTTAATAATTATTACTGAAACCCATTTCCCCATCTTTGGAAAAGATGCTTAAATTTGGACGGTAGTGAAAATATATCTAGCTGATTCAAAATCCAATGCACCTTCAAATACAACAGCAACAGCCATTTTAAATTCTTGAAATTTGATTATTGGTTTCTTTACTACCATCGACCTGTTGATTACCGGTTGATTTCTATAAGTATCATTTTTGTACTTGGACAATTACTCGACAATAATTCTAGTACAAATTTCTGGAAAAAAGTTCCATATGCGTTGACTGTGGCGACGCGCTTGGCAACGAGCACAAATTAGAAATAGAGATTTCCTTTAATTTCAATTTAGACGGTAACATCAAAAAACTGTTATCAATGAAAATTTGTAAATTTGTATAAAGAATTGCGAAAAATATCTAATTATGTACAAAGTTAAAATCTCAATACCTATAGATTTATATTTTGAAAAGGAAATGTTATTAAACCGAAGGTAATAAGTAAACGTACATAAACAACATATATTTTATTTTGCAACACTCTTTACTCGCCTGTTTTTTCTACTCACTTATTCCTGAAATAATAAAAAGAGGCAGAGGCCAGAGTCAGACGAATAAGAAGGAGATACGAGATACCTCATATTCTCATATATAAACAATTCAACGTGACATAAAACATTACACTCCTACCTCACAGACAGAAAAATCACCGTCAAAGTGGGCAACTCCCTATCAGACACATTCACCCCACTCGAGGGTGTTCCACAGGGCTCCGTCCTGGCCCCTCTCCTCTACCTTATCTACACTCACGACATTCCCTCCCCAAAACCACCCTACATCCAAATGCCTCCTATACGCCGACGATACAGCTCTAATCTCGATAGCCAAAAATTCTAACCAACTAAATACTCGAACCCAAAATCTGTTAAACCAGTTCTCTCACTGGTGTAGCAAATGAAGGGTTTCATTAAATCCGCAGAAAACACAATTCATCGTCTTTAAACACCCAAATTCTCAAAGATCCTCCCAGAACCCCAAACTCGTAAATGTAAATCTCCTGGGAGTCAGGCTCGCTCATCAGACTGAAGTTGACTATTTGGGGGTACGATTTTCTCATACACTTAACTGATCCTCGGATGTCCAATGCTCTCTTGACAAGATGCGAAAACGAGCCAGCCTCCTTGTGACGAATGGGGCGTTGCAACACAAACACTCTTATTCACACTTACAATTCCTTCATCCGACCCGTTGCCGAATACAGAGCTGTACCCTACGGCATACTTACCACACACTTGTTCCACAAATTCACCACACTCGAGAAACGTATACTCAGACGTTGCTAATATCTCCCCTCTCGCTCCCCCAGCGGAGAAGTTTTCTAAAACATCTCCAACACCTCCATCCTCACACGTTTCCAAACCTTCAGGAAACAATACGTCTCTCGCACGCTGAAAAGCTAGGTTACTTTTGTAATCAGAGCAGACCACCCTGAGAAGGAGGATAACTTCTATAGTAGGGAAATGAGTAAATAAAATGTCCTAGAAAAATTTAAAACATTTCACAGTGTCTAGGTACACGCTAACTTGTACGCAATTCAAAAATTTATATACACGCGAAACGTCATGACAGAGTAGGTGAGCTGTGTGCAGGCCGTTCGTGTTTACGCCGGTCGTAGCGAGGTATGGATTGAAATTTTTTTATGGCGGCGAAGCCGCCACCTTACAAGAAGTCGTTACTTCGTTTTCTTATTGTCACAGCATTATTATTATTTGTTCATATATGTGAAATTTGCTTCTAAGGTTTATAAAATACTACTGTGCTAGTCACGGCGTAAATGAAAACGAACAAGACGCATTCACACAAACACCTCCCACCACCGCAATATGATGTTTCGCGTGTATATAATTTTTTGATTTGCGTACACTTTAGCGTGTACCTAGCAACAGCGAAAACATTTATGAAAACCAAAAAAAAAAACATAAAACATTGCGATTCTGTGGGTATGGGCGCTTTCAGCATTTGCCTATATTTATCGGCGCCTGTAACACTGGCGCCTTTCGGTATTAGAACCGTTGCCTACCGGCGCTTGTAGGGCCGGCGCACCGGGAAATCTCCCGTTTTCCCGGTGGGCCCATCCACCCCTGTTCCCACGACCTATGCAACTAATCTGTCAATGTACAAGTAAATATCTAGAAGCAATTTTTAAACGGCACAAATTAAATGATCATTATTTAAATTTTATGGCAAGTACACTTTTCCATTATTTTATTTCAGTTGGTCAGTATGACAATAAATGGTCGGGGAAAATAATAAATGGTCAGTATAATATTAAATGGTCGGTGAAAATATTCAATGGTCAGTATAATAATAAATGGTCGATGAAAATTATAAATGACCAGTATAATATTAAATAGTCGATGAAAATAATAAATGGTCAGTAAAAATAATAAATGGTCAGTATAATATTAAATGGTCGGTGAAAATAATGAATGGTCAGTAATAAATGGTCAGTGAAAATAATAAACGGTCAGTATAGTATAAATAACAGTGCAGTTAAATTAATGAAAGGTCGGTGAAAATAATAAATAGTCAGTAATATAAAAAAAACGGTCAGATAAATTAATAAATGGTGATGAAAATAATCAACAGTCGATAAAATTAATAAAACGACGGTAAAACGACAAATCGTTGGTCATATTTATTTCATATAAAAATACAAAACCACTTAAAACAAAACAAAACACAACTTAAAACATTTAAAACAAAACAAAATACAACTTAACAAAGAAAAAACGCTATGCCGATATACCATGATGAACTACAAAGATAGTGGTGCTAATCTGAAAATAATTATAATTAGTAATACGCACTAACTACATATATAGGTGAAATACCTACCCTATTGGACAAGAAGTGCCTGCCTTGCTTTAGATGGTCGGCCACGTCGCCTCTTTGCTCCAATGGGAACCGATTTGGCTTCAGCGGGTGGGTTTGCATATTTCAGCCTTATTGCGATACCCACTACATGCTTACAAATTAATTTTTTGAAAAATCCTGGGCAATTGCAAGTGCCTTCAATCCATTTGTTTGAATCATTCGGAATAGTAGTAGTCCAAATGCTGAACGCGACAGTTTTAAACTCTTCAAAAGTGGAAAAACTCGCATTTAGAGTTTCCTCTAAATCTGTGACTTCATTACTTTGACCAGCAGGAATGAAATAAACATATCCTTCGGAATTAACATGTGAGACAATCTTTTTTTTTTTTTCAGTAGCCCATTGATAAGCTTTGGTCCATAAACCTAAGTTTAGCGTAGGAACTGCATGCACTGTCTTTGCATTTGCAGTGTACTGAAGAGACCAGGTATTTATGAGAACAACTACAACTCGAGATAAAGGCAATCTCTCCCGCAAAGTATTCTCATCTTTAATCACTCTGTTAAAAGATTCCAAAGCATTGTTTGTAGACGGAATCAGCTTTGAAACACCTTCAAACCAGTTTAAATTTCTTTCTAACCATTCATGTTGAAAATATTCCATACATTTTTTTTGTTCTTCCTCCTATTTTGCAACAAACAGATGTGACGCCTTCTTAAAAGCATCTTTACTTTCGCTCAGTTTTAAGAAGTCAATATCTTTTAATAAATCAATTCGTTTCTCCTTTGGATGCACCAGCTGTTCTGCTTTCTTTTCATATGTGCCCAACACATTATGATAGTAACATCTGATCCAAATACATTAATAAAGGCATTCTGGATACTTTTAGCAGTATCACATATGAGGTATTTTGGGGCAATTGATTTTTGAAATATATCCTGACAGGCAGACTTAATTGTTTTAAACAAAAACATAAGATCTTCAGTTTCTTCTTTGCTGCAAACCGATAGCCCAAAAACATAAAACACTCGATCTCGATCTGTAGTTCCTAATAATAATGCAGGAAAATCTTGCCACACTAATTCGAATGTCGCATTAGCATGTATGTGGTTAGCATCACATGACAACTTTAATAAGTTTATAGTAGAAACAAATAATCGAAAGAAAGGCTGTTCTTCATATACTTCTTACAATTAGTAGGAAACAACAAACGCCGCATCCACATCATCAGGAACTTTGGAATTTTGTAAACAAAAGTTTTCAAATTCACCAAGACTCATAACATTGGATCCATATTTTATTTTTCTTAATGAAGACAAATAATTATTAAACTCAGTCTTACTTGGTAAAGTAATTTGTTTTTTCATTAAAATATCAAGAATCTTTTTTGGTTTTATTTTTGAATCGAAATTAAATAGAGACTTGATTTCCTTTTTTACCTCATTGGACATTTTACTTTTGACTCTTGTAACAATTACATTACATATGTGAGCCAGTTGAGATCGGTATAAATGTACCTCACTTGTAATGGAGGGATAATGTAGGTACACACCTGCAGCGCATTGCTCTCCTCTTTTTTTAACTTTGTTACATCGAAAAATTTCACTTATATTTCCTAATGTGTCGACGTTTTTATAAGTAAAACTCCACACGTGCTCCTTTTGAACTGCAGCCACTGCAGAAGCTTTATTTTCGAACATTTTCTCCATTTGCCATTTCTTACCTATTTTCTTCCTTCTCTTCGTGATCGCCTCTTCACTTTCACTTTCGGAACTTGTTTCATATTCTGGTACATCTCCCATATCGTACCGTTGCAAAGAAACTTAGAGCACGAGTCACTTAACCTTACTTCTCAGAAACTAATAACAACACGCCAAGTGCAATACCGCGTATACAAACAAAAACAACTACAGCACAGAATAAATAACAATACTACAGCATAAATTCAGACGTTGGTGCTAAATAAATTCTTGAAGAAATACAGCAACTACTATTTAATTTTACTAGACCGAAACCGACCTAAAACATAAAAACATAATACTACTTATTTAACGCACATTTTCAAAATTATTACCGACTACTGCATACTGGCCATTTATTAATTCTTACTGACCATTTGTAGAATTATTACCGGCTAATTCATACTGATATTTCATTAATTTTTACTGACCATTATAATCACAAAAGTGAACATAGAAATACAGGCCAAGCAGTAATTTTACTGCTCCAAAATTCAATGTTTACTTATCATATTTTATAAAAGTACTGAGTCTTTTACAATATTTTACTGACTGTATTATATTGTACATAATGAATTAAATACTGTTCAGTTAATTACAACCCATTTTTAAGCCTCTTCTGTAAAAAAAAAACAGATTATAAAAAAAAATTACTGATTACAAATAATATTTCAACTAAAGATAAATTTGTTTTCAATTTCACGCATATAAAAAAGTATACCAACCCGTTATAAATACATAGAGTGGTTTAGAGTTTTAAATTACCTATTAAATGAGAACATAATCGTTAACTCTCGAATACTTCTCTAGTTATGAGCAATAATTTTCTTGGGTGCTAGTATCTTCTATCTCAGATATACGAGTTTCATAATATTACATAATTTTCACTTAAGTGATAGTAACTTCAAAATATGGTTAATATTTGCTACAGTCCATCACTTTATGTAATTCGTGCCTCGTCCTTTAGAAAATTCAACAGATGACCATTTTTCCAAAAAGAAAGTGTAGTCCTTTATTGCCAGGGGGTAGCAACTGATCCTCTATCCCCACTTGGCAGCGCTCATGGATCTGTCATACTTGGTTCTTTCCCTTTTGAATTGCGTTAGAATGATGAAGAGGAGAGAGATGACGGATACCAGTTGAGGATATAATAGAAATATGTCCTCATTTCATAAAAAACTCAAGCTTTTGTCTAAACTCTAGGAGTATATTATACACGTGAAAATAATGTAAAAAAACTCATATGTTCTTATCCGATTTTCATTTGTTTTCAAGTTATAGCATATTAACAAATAAACAAATTTACACATAAAAATTCTCTTAATCAAAGCGTTCTTTCAATAAATGTTCGAAAATACCGCCATTGACTTCTAAACATTTTCTGCTTCGTCTACGAAGAGCGTTTGTTGCTCTCCTAGTTAATTATTTCTTTCTTCTTTAATATGGGTTGCAGTATTCTCAATTCGTCTAATTAGTGTATCCCGTGTGTCCACTTTTAATTTGTAGACTTCATTTTTCATCCAACCCTATAAACAAAAATCTAATAATGTGAGGTCTTGAGATCTTGCAGGCCAATTAATAGGACCTCCACGACCAATCCAACGCCCTGGAAAACGTTCGTCCAAATGTTGCTTGACCTAACGAGCGACATGTGCAGGAGCTCCATCGTACTGATAGAACATCTGCATTCTAATATTTACAGGAACATCCTCTAGCAGGCCTTGTAATTCATTTTAAAAAATTGAGGTAGTTGTCTCCTGTGAGACTGTTGCGTGGGGATTTTCGTCTGACCATACATGATAGTTACGAGTATTATTAATGCCATCACGGGTAAATGTATCTTCATCCGTAAAGAGTATATTCGATACAACACGATGATTATTATTTATCCACCGACAAAATTCCATACGGTTAGCGTAATCCCGTGGTTGTAGGTGCTGTACTCTTTGTACGTGATAAGGATATAAGCCTTGCTCGTGAAGTGGTTTATCACTCTTTTTTGTGGAATTCCAATTGAGTGGCAATTCTCCGTGAGCTAGTAGTTGCATCTTCTTCTACTAGATGCAGAATATTTTCTACTTCTACAAAACCTTGTCGAGTAGCGCGTTCAGATGTTATGAAAGCACTGGGAAGCTTACCAGTCTCGCAAAATTTGTTGAAAACTCTAATAAATACGTTTTAATCAGGATGTCTTCGGTATGGAAAACGTTGACGATATTCTTTAGCAGCAGCTGTAGCATTTCCATTACAGAAACCATAAACAAACATCATATTTGCATATTCTAAATTTGAATAAGTATCTGGCATTTTGCAACACTAACAATCACATAAATTCGAAATTAAACGTTCAGTTACTGTTCACTGTACACTGACAGTTCATCAAAACGTCAAAATTATCAAATGCCTTTGAGCCTTGAACATATGACATACTTTGATAATGTTAAAATTCAGAAGTGGAAAACTAGATGAACATTTTTAATTACGCCATAACTTGAAAACAAATGAAAATCGGATAAGAACATATGAGTTTTTTTTACATTATTTTCACGTGTATAATATACTTCTACACGGAAAAAAAATTGTAGAAGAAATTTCTACAAATATAGATTTTTTCTCTACAATAAATAGTACATATAGGGACAGGGACAATTTGTAGTAAAAATTTCCAAATATTTGTGGAGAATGTATTGTAGAGTTATTATCTACAATATTTAGTAAAAATATCCAAATGCATCATAAGAATTGTTCTACAAATTGTTATAATTTTTGCTATTCATTGTACGAATTTATATTAAAAATGTATTGCATTTTATGAAAATAAATACGAAAATTTTACACAATAAATAGTAAAAATTCATACAAATTGTAGTAATTTTTAATAAAATTTGTAGTAGTATTCCATAATTATTATAATTGTAACCTAGAAAAAAATGTTCCTTAATAAAATATTTAATTTATTGTTTTAATATAAAAGATACAAAGTATTAATTACATTATGTAATAAATAACAGTAATAATAGCGCCCTCAGTCTCAGTTTACTTTTCTGCACCTGAAAAATATGAAATAAAAATTAATACTAATTGAACTGTTCATACCCTTAAAACGGGGATATTTATCACCTTTACACTGATTTGGATATTAAATGACTAAGTCAGATAACTAACAAAAATGAGAAAGTAGGTATGTCACAATTAAGACAAAGAAACATTATTGAACTTGGCACAAAATTCGATCGTTGGGCACAACATTCCATCGTTGGCCACAACTATTTTTTTAAAATAATCTACTAAGGTTATTTAAATTAGTTATCTAAAGGTAAATTATTCAGAAACAATAATAAATGTACTTACCACCAATAGAATTTATTATTAAAATTTTCTCAAACGTATCGGTGCTTATAATATAATAATGTGTTATAGGTACTCGTATATGTACCGTGCTTTGTTATGTGAACATGGCGAACGGCTACTGCTGTCTGGCCATTTATGATCGACGTCAGAAAACGTTGGCCAATAGCAGAATTCTGTTTTGTTCACATGACTTAGAATTTCTACAATATTATAGAATATTTTTGAACAAAATTGAATGTTTTTCATTAGAAGGGATGTAAAGTATTACTATTTTTTGTAGAGAAAATTACTATTTTTTGTAGAGATAATTATTAATATTTGTACAAATTTTTACAGAAGTTAGTAGTAGTAATTACGATAATTGTAATAAATTTCTACTTCTACAAACAATAGTAAAATATACTAAACATTGTGGACTTCTTTCCTATTGTTGTAGCATTTTATTCGACAATTCAATTGCTACAATAATTAATAGTTTTTAACTATAAATTGTAGTGAAATTTTCTACAAATTGTTAAGTATTTTTCTACAAGTCTACTACTACAACATTGTAGTAAAATTTTCTAGTCACATTTTTTTCCGTGTAGAGTTTGGTGCGCTCCTCCCGATTCACCCTGTAGACTGATATTAGTATTCGTGTGGCCATCCTGTACAGTTAGTTATAAGTTATAACTTGCGAGTCAAAAAATTAATCTCATTAATTTTTACATGTAACAATGAAAATTATAGTTTGCCGCACACATATGTGCTAGATATAATTGCACTTCTCAGTACATGCCGTTTCACTTGGACGATCATATGGGTAAATTTATTTTATTCATTAAAGGAACTAATCGCTATCCTACTCGGAAATACAAGTCTTAATTAAATGAAAAATAAAAAATTGTAATGATTATTCTGCAAATAGTAATTTAAAATGAGTGTAAAATGTTGTATTGTCATTTTTTTTGTCGTTTTAACTATATATCACCTCAGATAAACAAATGAAGTACTGATAAGTAACGGCTTGGATTTGTTTTTTCTATTACTTTCTCTTTCTCCTGGGTCTTTGATGTGATTCGTCTATTTTAAATAGCAGCGCAAAAATTTAGTAACAACTGTCAACAAGCATTTGGGAATTGTCAGTTTTGTTTGTACATTTTCGTGGTAATTCTACGAGTATAAAGAAATATGTTAAAATTTAACGGACGTTAAAAATATAACGTATGTTAAATATGGAAAGCAATTCTGTAAATTCATGAAAAATTTTAACTTGTCATAATTAACATAGTAGTTCATTTGTGCCGCAAAAATCTATTCTATAAGCAGAAATATGTTAAAAATTTAACATAAATGTGTTAATTTTATGCGTTAAATCGAAGATATTAACAGGTACTAATTAGTAGGCTTTAAAACTTAACATATAAGAAATTATGACTTTTTATTGTTTAATTCAACTTATAATGCAAGAAGATCATGAAAATAAACCATTTTGAAAGTACTCAAGTAATTTTAACAGTAGAAATTAGACAAATTGTATTTATAAATTATATTTTTTATAGTGTATATAAACTTTTTGTAGTTAGTAATTGATTTGCCGTAGAAGGACACTATTATAAGGTTACTGGGGTTAGTTTTGTTTATATTGAAAATTGATGGCCTACCAAATAGTTTTTAAAGTAAATTCGGCCGCTACTTTTTTCAATATTCTTGTGCAAAAACAGACAGATACA